AGCAACCGGTCTGCACAAACAAGCAAAGCCCCATCTGTGGGCTGCAGGCAGCACACAAAACCACACAGTCTCCGATCTGTGGAAAAAACGGTCCCTGGTGCCCAAAGTTTGGGGACCTCTAGAGTATGGGATTTTGATTATTCCAAAAGTTATTTTACGGCTCAGGTGGCATGGCACAGACATAAATTCAGGTTTTGCGCTCTTCAGTCGATTGATTGGTGGGGGCACAGATTGGTTCATGGTGTGTTTCCTACCTTTTCTTAGCTTTCCAAGTTTGGCAGGAGTGAACGCAATTATAACGCCAGCTTCAAACCACTTTGAAGGATCAGGTAGTACCAAAAATGTGTAAAATCTGAAAGGCCTGTCACTATATTTAAAGCTTCAATGCTGTTGTTGATAGAAATAACTCCCACTGCTAAGAATAAGGAATGAGTTCAGATAAAGTAGAGTTCTTTTTTACATTATCACAAGGGAAGGCAGAACAGCTTTTAAAAATGAAAACAACAAAAGTTATGAGTTTTGAAAGCTGCTCAGAATTTCATCCATGACATAAGTTGAAAAAGTCATATACCATTGTGTATTATTACTGGAAAGAAAAGTGTGTGACATTCTGTTAAAGTTATTCTTTCCAACCCTGCTCATGTTGGTTGAGAATTACGTGAGCTAAAATCCAATGGGAAGCCTCCGATGAGGAAAAAGCTGTTCTAAGGGAACTAATCACTCATGGTAAAACTAGAATATTTTCGGTATAATTATATTAGGGATCCATGAGCACCCATAGCGACATTGTTAATTAGGTAGAAATGGTAAACAAGTGAATTATTCTGAGAACTGGGAAAATGCCATTTTTAGAAACCTATATTTTAGTAAAGAATGTAATTGTTATCCATTCTTTATTTTTTTATATATACATAACTCAAAATGGTGAACATACCATAACTCTGTGAGATAGGTTGGGCTGAAAGAAAGTTACTGGCCCAAAGTCACCCGTAGCTGGCTTCCTACCTAAGGCTGAACTAGAACTCACAATCTCCCAGTTTCTAACCTGGTGCCTTAACCATCCAACCAAACTTATGAGTCTTAACAAAATTTATCAAAATTATAAGTACTGTCATAATATATGGGCAAATGAAAAGAAGGCACCTCTAAAATGATTACAAAAGCATAACTTGTATACTTTCAGTTTTAGACCTCTTCATTCCAACAATTCTCCTAAATAAATAGCATAAGAAATCAGTGGTTCAGATTGCTTTGTGCCATTCCTATCTGAGATGCAAAGTAATAGAACAGCTAAGATGTGGAACGAGGACTGGAGAAATCTATATTTAAATCCAATTGCCATAGAAATTCACTGAGGGACTTTAGGTCAATTATTCTTTTTTAACCCTACCTTCATTGTTGGATTTCAGAATGGGTGTAAAATGTAGGCATATTCCCCTTATAAACTGTCCTGAACTCTTGGAGAAATGCATGCAGGAGTTTTCAGGATCCAGAATATGGCGATAATCTGTCCACATTGTCCTTGAACCAAACTGAATACCAGTATAAGTGTGATATTAGCTGTGTACAATAAAAGGTGAAAAGTGTTACCTGGATAATGCTTTGGATCCAAGTTTAGTGCTAATTAATGTCACTGGAGTATGGAAGGAAAAGTACAGTAAAAATAATATTGGCCTTCACTGCCAATTCTTTCTATAAACTTAGGGCAGTAGATATACAGTATCTTAACTGGTGCTGTGTTTCTTCTCAGACAAAAGCTGATGGACAATACTATCTCCTTTAAGCAATATATTATTTTTCATTCATTCATATAAGCTTCTATGAAGTAAACTGGCTTTTATCCTTTTTATGTGTTACACTGATATATCGCTGGGCCATTTGAAATGTGCATTCTAGAAAAAAATGGCTCTGAAGTCATGTTCTCCTTTGATTGACAATTTCTTTTTTTGTTATAACTTTTATTGTTTTATCAATTTTTAAAATACAAAGAAAAATAAAAATAGGAAATTAAGAAAATAAAAAAGAAAGGGGGAAAGAAATATGATGTACGAGGAAAGAAAGAAAACGCGTTGACTTCTGACCCTTTTTAAGTATAAGATAACAACATTACAACCTCAATTTTTTACTTTTACACATTAGTGTGTAACTAGCCATTTCTATAACAACAAATCTATCTAATTGGCAAAACCAAAGTCAAAGTTTCATTTTCCTTTTCATCACAAACACAAAATCCAGAAGTGATCGCCAAATAAAAAAATGTAAATATATTCTCCTCTTTGAATAGAACAACCAATTAAACCATTACTGCTTTATCTTCCTGGCTGTTGAAATAATACGTATTTCTGTTTGTGCTTAATAATCTTTATAAACTATCACCATTTATACTAACAAAATTCCCTGTTTTCTTTCAGATTGGCAATTCCTTGATAAGGATGACCATTAAAATCTGTTGAAATTTTATTAAAGGATAATTTTATATCTTGGCAGAAAAATTGATACCGCCTTGGTCATAAGGCTCCAAATTTGACCTCTTTAAAATTAAGAGGAGGCAAAGTATCCAAAGGGAAATTATCCTGTGGTTGGATGTAGTTTGTTAATAAAGATAATCCACCCAAAATCAATAGTCTTTGCAAACAAATGCCAAGCATGTGCATGAAGATATTTTCCTGAATTCTGTGAGAGCTACTCTCTATTAAGGATGGTGACCTTGATAATTGACATTAATAGCACTCAGCAACTAGCTTTTCTACTGTTAAGTGGAGTATAATAGTGCATTCCGTATTCAACTTTTGTCATTAAAGCTACAATACTATATGCACTTCACTCAGATCTATGCAATAGAACTTATTTCCATATAAAAACATTTAGGCTTGCATTGCCAGCTACACATTTTAATTTAACATATTTTCAGCGCAACTTATTTCTTTTAACATTATTCTGAAGTCCCACTGTGTCCACTGGAGCTGAGTTAAATCTGTGTAGGATTGCAGCCTTAATTGCTTTATTTCATGAATACATTAATTTGGACAGAGAACAATTGTTTTCACAAAAAAGTGTCAGGTAGTGGGAGTAAGATAAATACTACTAATATTGTTGTTTAAGAGAGAAACATATTTTTTGGGGAAAAAAAGAGTAGCACATTGATCTGAACTTATTTAAAGTAAATGTTAACAGCAAACAGAGTTGTCACCAAATTCCTGAAAATCTTTATGTCTAACCCTAAATTGCAACCCATTAGCTGTCACTGAGATTGAAAAAGTGATGGGGTTACATGGGTGGAAAAGAACGAGTACCGTGTATTAAACAAGCAATCCCTCATTACCCTGAGATGCAAAACTGAAGTGATAAATATTTATGAGGTAGTTTCTGTCCAAAAGCCTGAAGATAAAAGGAGTGTTTTATTTGTGATGGTCAAAAAAAAAGGCAGAGCTGAGCAATTTAGAGTAAGTTACAGAGTGAAAAACTTACCCTCTTGAATTGGTGTGCAAGACAAAGAAGAAAAGTGGGGGGATTGCCTCACAACGTAAGCTGTCACACCCCTCCTCCTCTGCCCCAGGGATCTCATGGAGAATTTGGCACCCCTCCATCCACAAAGAAAACACTAACTCTACTTCCCCACCAGACCTGCCTCAACATTCATCCATGCCAGGGAAGATATTTCCATTCACAGCTCCATTAATATAGAGAACTACCTCAAGCTCATTATTCAGTATTGATTTAAGATTGCTTTCCTATCTTCAACAGATGACTCACTAGATGAAGTATGGGAGGTGAAGCTTTTCCCAGGGTGCAGATGCTCTGCCAGAAAATATGTTGGGATACCTTAATAAAAAGTGACTTGAATAGAAATGGCTTCTATGTACTTCCCTGACTTCCTTTAAAAGTATAGTCTTAGTAATGCCAAGCTCACATATGCCAAAGATTTGGAGTTTGAAATAATAATATAAGAGAGAAGGATAAAGCAGTAGATAGAGAAGTTAAGTTCTTCCCTTGCATTCTCTTTTTATGCCTGCTTTTCTCTCACCCATCTAGCATGGTTAACTAGATATGAACACCAAGTACAAGATCTTCCCTTCCGCTGCCTACAGCTGCTCTTCTCCAAATTAGAGACCTAGTTCCCTCATCCAGAGAGGCCATCAAGAATCTGATTTGACTCCAGGCTGGGGAAAAAACAGTAATATTAGCAGGGATAGAGAGCACATGAATTCCAAATAGGTAGTAGTTCTTGGACCGAGGTTTATGACAGCCTTGATTTTTATTACATCTTTATTTTCATTGCAATTTTAAAAGGTTAGGGCAGAATGGACTTGGCGAGCTGAAATCGTTTCTGTGGTTCCTCTTTGGATATTGTTGCTTCCACCTCTTCAAGTGTTATTTATGGCTGCGTGAATCGTAGGAGCAGATATTCTGGTTGGAAAACTTGGCATGAGCAACTTGAAATGTGGACGTGTGCTTCCACTGGTGACTTTCTGCCCTGCCCACTTGGCCATCTCAAAGGTGGCACAGCCACAAGGGAAACTAATAGATGAAAATCAGCTATGATTAGTGTGTTTATAACCCACTTCTACTCTTTAAATATTTGAAAGCAAAAACCACAGTAAATGCAGATGCAGCCAGTCTAAAGAAGGTATTAAACATCCATGCCTCTCCATTCATCTGAAGCATGTCAACGTTAAACAGCAAAGTTATTTTAAATGGTATCATATAAGGCAAAGGCACAAACAGTGTTTGGGAATGTATTTTAAGGAGGAAAAAAAACCGAACCCTAATTCCAGATTGGATGGATACTGAAACCTATTGGGCCATATCCTGAGAATTCTTAAACATCAATGATCCAAATGTTTCTTTTGTCTTTAAGTGTGCGTTCTAATTTTGGGTCTGACTGTTTACAGTGAAGAGATCAAACCTAATAAGACCTGATAGTTATCAAAATGTGTTTATAAGTATATACGATTCGTATTGTTTGACATGTCCCTGGAGAGCTCTCGCTTGTTTTGCAGCAATGGTACACCAGCTCCATGAATATCGTTTGCACTTGGCTAACAGACCGCATGGACCTTCAGCTTCACATCTATCAACTAAAAACCCTTATTAGAATAGTAAAGGTAAGCTTGCCTAATGTAGTTGTGTTACTTGGAAATACAGTAGATTCTGCTCTCAGTCAGAGAGGAAGTGCCAATGAAATCAAAGCATGAGGCCCATTTGTAGATATGGACCTTACTCTCCATCTGCCATATTGAAAAAAGTCAAAATGATATTGACAAAATATTCATCCAAGAGAGTGAAGATGGAGGAAACATAGCAGGCAATTGTAGCAATTTGTCCATGCGTCAGCGTTATTTATTCTTCATGTTCTGTACAACTTTGAAATCAGTCACACTGGGATATTTCTAATACTAGGTTTGGGACCTTGGAGGTCTTCTAGTCCAACCCCCTGCCCAAGGCAGGAGTCCTGATTACCCAGAAGGGTAATATCTCTCACGTTAGCATTATTCTAGTTCAGTGGTGGCAAACCTTTTGAGCTTGGCAGGTCAAAAATTTGTAAAAAGATTAACTTGACTCTGCTGGCATCTCTCTCACACACATACACACACACACACACACACACAGAGAGAGAGAGAGAGAGAGAGAGAGAGAGAGAGAGAAGAAACAATTCTCTATCTCCCTTCTCCTCCCACTTAGGCCATTCTGAACAGTGGCATTTGGCAACAGTGTTGAGGCTCACATGAAGTAGAGGTCAAGTTCCTGACTCAGTCCTAGCAGCCCCACTATCACTTAAAAAGACTGGCTGTTGCCATTCCCCAAAGCACATGACCCTTAGGGAATGCTGGGATCGCCCCAAGATCTTCCATTCACTACTAACCTTCAAGTGGTGTTCTCTTTCTGTTGACAGGGCCCTGCAGCCTACCGAACACTGCTCTGGGTCACATAAGGCCTTCCTTCTTGAAATGGCTTCAAAAAATGCTCTTTTGCAGCCTCTGCAGTCTCCAAAACCTGCATGAAAGCACGCCTCCTTCTCATATGATTTTTGCCACTTCAGAGACAAGAGCATACCTCATTTTGCACAGTCTCCAAAAAATTCAGTGGAACAAGGCATGCTTTCAAGAATAGTGGCTAGGTGTTGGTGAACGCTGGCATAAATGCTGCCATGTCACCCAAAGCATCATGGTGGGTCAGCTTTGGTACGTGTGTCATAGGTTCACCATCACTGCTCTAGTTCCTTCCATTGGATCAAATGAAACAGGAGCCAACCTAGACAGATGGTACTGAAAGGCAGGGAACCATATGAGGATAAACGATTACTATGAGTCTCTGCGCAAAGTGCTGGATAATCTTCTCTAGCAGTGCTAGAAGTATCTCTTAATCTGCCCCCTTCTATATGTAGAAAGGGAGCAAAAGATACTACCCAAAATTGTTGGGTAGCAAACTTTACTACTGATTTTCACTTTCAGGGACTTAAAGATCCTTAAAAACACATGTCATATCAGAACAGCACATATAATTAAAATAATTTCTCTTACAATAGATGCTGACAACATTTAAAAAGGGGTTATACACAAAACAAGAAGATCTCCTTAATATAGCTGTGTGTATGTGTGTGTGTGTGTGCACGAGTGCGTGTATGTGTTGGATGGATGGATGGATGATAATTATTTCAGTGTGAAATCTCAGTGGCTTACATAAAATAATAAGATCTCAGGAGGAGGTAAATACATATTTGATCATTTTTGGTTCCATGTGATATATTTTGCAGAAGAGGAAAATTATATACTTTAGAAAAGAAGTCATGAATAAATTACTAACATGGTTTTTAATTTTCAAAATAAAAGCAATAGGTATTAGCACATTATTATTATGTGTTAGCTTGGGAACACTGAAAAACACAGGAAGTGTCTTTTGTACTATTAGACTACATAATAGCCTCTTTTTTAAAAAAAAAATAACAGTTTCTCTAGGCATAAGAGACATGCAAAACACATTGTTAAACAGTACGTGAATTTAACTAATACTTGTATTTTTATGATGTCGTTGAATTCTGTGAAACCAACAAAACCAAAAAACTTCACAAACCTAGACAAAATTTTGATAAACAAATGGCTTTGACACCTAAGACAGTTCACAGCCCCATTTATTCTCATAATACTCAAGGAAGGGCTATTTAAATGGAAAGATGGAGCCATTGCTCCCCCCCACAATTCAGAGGCAGCCACAATTTTATCAGAGTGATGAAATATGCATCACAACATCATGAAGCAAATTTTGCTCCTTACCTACTTGATATTGCGACACAAGTATAAAAGGGACACAGTTGTGTCGTGATTTCATAGCACACCTTCCTCTGCCCTTTGTCCTTCCTTGCAGCTATCCCTGCCATATCTATGACATTTTTATACAAACGTTTGCCACTCTAGACCTCTCTTTGTTTGGTTCATTTCCAGTTTTGGTGTGTGACATGGGAACAGCCTTCCCTGCTCCCATATGCGTTTCCACAATTTTTACAGAATAATTATTATTCTGAAATTTTCTGTGCTATGCCATAAAATACGATCTTCTTAAAAACCTTGTTCAGTCCTCCAGTTGCTTTTCCCCCATTATGAAAACTATTTTCAGAAAATCCTAGGCAATAAGAAGTCAGAATAATTGCTATAATGCTGGTTTAAGGTACTGTCACAGGTCCCACTCTTTCAGAAGGAAGACTGTATTCTGTAGAACAGAGGTCCCCAACTTTTGGGGCACCAAGGACCAGTTCTGTGGAGAAAGGTTTTTCTGTGGACCGGAGGGTGCATGGTTTTGTGTGCTGCCTGCCTCCCACAGATGGGGCTTTGCTTGTTTGTGTGGACCGGTTACTGGCATGCTCCGGCCCGGTACTGGTTCCTGGACCAGGGGTTGGGGACCCCTACTGTAGAATACAAACTTCAGATAACTGTCAAAATCAAAGATGCATGAAAAGGAAAGACTCAACATCCTTCTTTAAGATTTATCTCATGGAAGGAAGTCAGACACATGGTACAACAGCACCCATATGACCTCCTATTTCAGGAGTGCCAAACTGCTGGCCCACAGGCCGGATGCATCATAGCGAAACTGTATCCACCCCATTGCCGGCATGCCCATGTCACAACACGTCACGTGATGTTGCGAGTTTGACACTCCTATCCTATTTCATCAATCACAATGGCTTCCAACCTGATCTAGTTAAGAGCATGCATGCATGAGAACAGGCCTCTGCTAGTTCAGCTTTACCAGTCCAAATAATTCTTCTCAAAATGGGTACAGATACAATCAATCTGTGATCTCTTCTAGCAAATGAAGCTTTGTGCATATAGCTTTAATCAGATTATCAGCCAAAACTTAATTTTCATTTCATTTTCCAAGAGCAGACTATCAATTGGTTTCTCTTCATCACCGAAAGTATGATGATACAACACATACCTTGTTCTAGCATATCTACAGATGTACCTGTGTCTCTTAATAGTGATACAAATGTTTAAAATATAAATGCCTAAAAAGAAAAAATAGAACATGCAGAAAAGAAAAAAATTGAAAGTAAAAATAGTAAAGAGAGAAAAATAAGAATATAGTAAAGAAAAAGTATATGTGTATATATATATAATGACTTCCATCTTCGTCACAAGTATCAGCCATTTTAGTAACTTATCACCTTCTCTTAAAATATAACAGATGACCTCTTCTTCCCATATCCCATTTCTTATCTATAAACAAATCCCTAAAGCCTTTTTGCTTTAGTCCTGATCAGCCAAAGTAGACCTATCTACTAAATTTGATCAAATAAACCAACTTTATATTCCTTCCTTATACTTTTAACAATGTTGATCTTTAGCCCCTTCAAATAATTTCCTGGAACTTGATTTCTTTTCATTTTTTCTTTGTCCCATTTCACAAAACTCTACAAAGGTTTAACAAGCCCATTATCAGTATCTCAATAGCACATCATTGAACAAGAGCACATCATTGAACAATCATTTGGTTCCTTAATTTAATATTAAGGATGTAATATTAAAAGTAATATATTGTACAGTATACATCAGTTTAAAATTAAGAAACCAAACCTCTTTCTCTTGGTCTCAATGTGTATTCATAATTAGACATCCAGCACTATCAAATCATTTTACTTCAACTTCTCTATTTCTGCAGAAATAAGTTGAGAATAAATACTATAGGATAGCATCTGATCCTATTAAAAGCAAAAGTGCTTGAAACTTATTTGGAAGAATGAAATCTAATTCCTGCTATTTCTGGGTTGGGTTGGTTTGATTGTTTGTTTGGTCATGTTTTTCACAACACCAACTTCTTCATCCTAGAAAGCATACAGAGATTTCCGATTGCAAGGAGTTCTGGATTCTACCTTGAATAGTAAAACCTATGACACAGTCCGAAACCGGCTGACTGTAGAAGAAGCCACAGCTTCAGTAAGCGAAGGTGGAGGACTCCAAGGGATCACCATGAAAGACAGCGATGAAGAAGATGAAGAGGATGATTAGATCTCCGAAATTTAGAGTCCCCCAACCTGGATGTAGCCTGGAAACCAGTGCATGTAATCTAGTCGGTTATTCAATTAGCCACATTAGGAAATTTTCTGTCTGCTCTAAACGCCCATGGAAAGTCTACCAATACAACTCCCATTTTAGCTGTGTGGTTCTTAAGACTTAGCATCTCTGTTTCGATTCATTGAGTTTCCTGATTTCATATCTCTATGTTTATAAGCAATATGGAGCACCATTGTTTAAAACAGTTAATGGAAAATAAATCTGCATAGAAAACATACTAGGTGTGTCCCTATGATAATTAAAGTATAAATGACGTTTCATTAATGTACGTATATACATTGATGGTAAATTGTTGTGAAGACAAGTGAAACAAGTACTTTCATATGTTTGTTTCTCTTCTATGGATGCCAACTGCTTCGAAACAGAGTAAGGCTACTACAAGACACCTATTTTGTACATTTGGGGGAGGAGAAATATAAACCAGAAGCTGGGATTATTCCTGTTTATTGTACCCGAGCATTTTTCTTCCAAAGTATACAGCTAACTTTGTAGAAGTGACTGACCACTGGAATCTTAGTCATCCATCTACAGAATGGGCTGACCTTGGGCTGACCTTGATCACGTTGTCCTCCTTATGATTCTGAGCAGTTGCTTTATGTCAGCGTCTTGCCCCTCTCAATGTTACATTTTGTTCAGAGTTCCAATAACTGTGTTTGTAAAAAGGACTTTAATTCCAACCTTAGACTATACAGATGTGTTTATAATAATGAGGACGCTATAATAACAATGATGATAACGAACGACCATTTCTTTTCGTAGACTGTATCCATCATTTAAATCTCCTTTTGTTTTCATAATGGTTTTTATATCTTGTCATGTACATTGTATTTGGATCAGTAACGTGCATGTCCTTGCGTTTTCCCCCAAAATCCTTTCCAGGAGCTTTTATTTTTCGTGTAATATAGTGGATTCATCTTGCTTTTTTGCCTTATACAAGCCGACAGTTGTAAAAGTGTGGGGACTGTGGCTTTTCAATAAATAACTGTTCAGATGTCCTGCTAATAAAACACTGGAGTCTTTTTATGTCTGCCTTAGGAAGAAGAAGAAGAAAAAAATATAAACAAACAAACAAAAAGATTAGTCAATTTAACAAGAATCCATGTAAGAGCTCCTGTCTTCTAGAATAAAGGAATTTTCTTTTCACCTGGGTGTTTTTTTTAACAAAAAAAAAATAGTTTGTGAACTGAGGGGCTCCTTTTCCAAGTTGCTGTCTGAAGCAGATGCAAACATCAAGGCCCACCACCTTCCAAAGAAGCACCGCTGAACTCCGGAAGCCTGGCTGGGGAGGATGTTCTCGCACAGATGGTTCTCCAGTGCTACCAGTCAGAAGGCCCTCTTCAACCTTTCTTAATGGATTCTCTGTGCTCTCTCTCTATATATATATATATAAAAAAAACCTGGAAGCAATAAGGGGAAAACCTGGAAAATTTACCAATGGGAGGCAACATAAGCTGTGAATGAGGCAGAACAATTACACAGGAAGCCTTTCGCTAAGCATGAAGCAGGTTAAGAGACCAGCCAAAACATTTTCAGCTGCGGTTGTGGAGTACAAGTATTCCTCCACTTGCAACCACAATTGACCCCAAAATTTCTGTTGCTAAGTGAGACAGTTGTTAAGCAAGTTTTGTCCCATTTTACGACCACTCTTGCCCTAGTTGTTAAGTGAATCACTGCAGTTGTTAAAGTAGTAGCACAGTTATTAAGTAAATCTGCTTTCCCGGTTGACTTTGCATGTCAGAAGGTGGGGCAAAAAGTCATCACATGGTTCTGGGATGTTGCAACCATCACAAATACATGACAGCTGCCAAACCATCCAAATTTTCATCCCGTGAGCATGGGGAATGCTGCAAAGGGACATTAAATGTGAAAAATGGCCATAAATCACTTTTTTCAGTGCCATTGTAACTTCGAATGATCACTAAATGAATGGCTGTAAGTTAAAGGCTACCTGAATTTCACACTTTATTTTAATGGAAATTCAGACAGATGTGTTGTGTTTTAATTTACAGAGAATATCCATATATACGTTTATATTTCAGGGACACTTACAAGGCAATCTAAAACATAAAAGATGATGATGGTGAGGATGATGAGATGATGATGACGATGAAGATGATGATGGTGATATAACAAAAACAAAGCAGTTCACTGTTCAGTCAAATGGCTAATATGAAAAGCCATGAAATGTTTGTTCGTACTAGCCATTTGAGCAGTCAACTGCTTTGTTTTTGTTATATCACCATCTTCATTGTCGTCATCATCATCATCATCATTATATGGCTGCCTACCTTGTAGAAGACAACTCTGGGCAGCTCACCACAATAGTAAAACCAAAAATAATGCAAACAAGAAAAACAGAAACGACAAGAAATCCATGACATTCAATGCAACACTCTAGTTCATGCACTTTCCTATGAAGCTCAGTTTCTGTGCACTTACTGGATATGTTCAAATGATTTTCTTGGCAACAAAATGGAAGTGGTTTGCCAGTGCCTTGTTGCACAGTGTTTTCCTTTTTTTACTTCCCAGTCCAACCTAAAGCCTGATAGCCTCCCATCCAAGCACCAGTGACCTCTGTCCCTGCTTAGCTTTCTAAGACATCTTTGGTGGTGTCATTCAGCTGGGTAAGCATAAAGATGTACTCAAACTGAGCTCAGCACCCGATAGAAACATGGACACCTCATGTGATATATAAGCCATTGTCTCAATCTGGAAATAATCATCAAGATCCTCATCTTTTTGATCTTGCCTGTAGCCCTAGACATCCACAGTATTCTTCCATCCAAACAGTAGAAGCCAAGAACTGCCTGGGTATACATGGGGGGGCTGCAGAAGTGGGTGGGATGGTGCCACAAGTGGGTGCTAGGCAGTGGTGGGATTCAGCCAGTTCGCACCACTTCGGCAGAACTGGTAGCTAACTTTTTGTTGCCCATGCCCAGAATGGACTTCCGGAAGTGGCATCCACACAGAGAACCAGTTGTTCACATATTTGAATCCCACCACTGGTGCTAGGGAGGGTGGGTGAGTCAGGAGGGTGCAGCAGGAGGGTAGGCATGTGCTACAGACTGCGGTAGGGTGACAATAAAGGGCTCCTCAGGAGAAAAAGCAGTGGAAGTGACTGATGAGGTCAACCTACAACCTTCCCTACTGGTTTCTCCATTGATTTTGCTTGTGGGAAGCTAGCAAGGGAAGTTGCAACAGCTATCAAAATGTCAACTTTGCAATCATGTCATTGAGGAGACACTGCAACAGCCAGAACTTTGCGGACTGATTGTAAGTCCATTTTTTTCAATGCTGTGGTAAGTTTTAATTGATATAATAAGCTAATGCACCTGTAATTGTCATGCAATCCAACCCATGCTTAACTAACTTGCTAATAAACATATCATCTAGTTCTCTTCTTTTTAATAATCAATTAATTACCTCTACAGGTATTGTGGTCCCACAATCTATTAGGGAAACTTTCCAATCCAAAAATTAGGTAAGGTTAATTTAGCAATTCCATACTGACTTCTAGTAATTATTGCATTGCCTTCAAAATCATACCGATCAATTTTTTTAATGATTTGCTCTAGAATCCTCCCAAGTACCAATGTCAGGTTTACAGTCCTCAGTTTACTGGATCTTCTGGCTTCCCTTTTGAAGATAGAGACATTTCCTCTCTTCCCATCCTATGACACTTCTTCTCCAGACTTCTCAAAGTTAATTCATAAGATTCAGTCAGACTTTGGTGTCTTAAGATGCCATTTCTCTGGCCTCAAAGTCAATCCGGTATTTCAATTTTGTCCCTTTATCTTGGTCTACACAATTGCTTGGTGGAACACAACTCTTGATGGATGAGGCTAAACCAAAACAGAAATACTGTTTGCTGACTTTTCATTGTTACCTGTTGGCATTTGGGAACCATAACTGAACAGCTTACACACTGATTATTTTTTTCTTTTTGGGAAAACATTTTTAAAAGCCCTTTTCATTTTTCCTAGTTTCCTTCACTAATCGGAGCTTATTCTTGCTTTAATTTTCCTAATATCCTCATTATTGTTATAGCTTATGTTTACTTTGCATTTAGCCCCAATGGGCTAAGCTCCCATTACTTGCCCCAGCTCCTGCCCATGTAGCAGTTTAAAAGTATGTAAATGTGAGTAGATAAATAAGGTAACAGCATTCAGTGTGCTTCAATGTATAGTCATGCTGGCCACATGACCACAGAAGTATCTTCAAACGATGGCTCCCGGCTAAACACAATTGAATGGGGGAATCTTTATCTTTAATTAATTGCTTACGGGGGGGGGGGGGTTGCGCATGTTTGTTAAGCTTCTTTTGGAGCTTCATTGTTCTGTATTTTTGTTCCTTATTGGAACTGGAATCCTCACTGGATTGGTTCCCCCAGTGCATTATCTTTCCTGCTGGGGAAGCTCATCATGGACAAATGGGATGCAGGAATGTTCCCCCACACCCACCCAGGTCACCTTAAGGTGATTCTGCTTCAGCTAGTTCATCCAGCTTGTGGCTTCCTCATTGGGATGGGTTTACTGCAGGGGTAGGCAACCTTGGCTCTTTTATGACTCATGGACTTCAACTCCCAGAATTCCTGAGCCAGCTGGCTCAGGAATTCTGGGAGTTGAAGTCCGTGAGTCATAAAAGAGCCAAGGTTGCCTACCCCTGGTTTACTGGATAAAGCATTCTAAGGAAGGTGAAGCCGAGGGACCCAGAGGACTGCTTTTATTCTCACCTCTGAAAAAGTGAATATTCATTTAACAGAGTTAAACGAAGATTTAACCAAGTGATCTTATTAAATTTCACTCTTTACCCAAGGCAAATATGGCCTTGCACCCATACCAGCAATCAGACCCAGCTCTACCCTTCCTCACTCCTATCCAAAGCATTCAAAACCAGAGCTGGAAGAGAATCAGAAAATCAGAAGAAATCAACCT